TCCCAGGAGCCTGGCAGGGCCCGCGTGAGGTCGTTACCTGCTCCCAGGCTCCTGCTCCAGAAAGTCCACGGCGACACGCAGAGGAATTCCACGAGCAGGTGCTGAATAAACATGTCAATGAGGTCAGACACCCACAGGGCGTCCGTCTCAGAACCGGGCCTCGGGGTCACCGGGTGAAAGCATTCCCTGCCGGGCGAGGGGTTCTCACAGACGGGGACGGGGGATTTGACTGGGTGGTGGGCACGCGGGGCCGCATCCAGACCTCGTAACACAGAAACCCACCCCTGACCCCTGTCTGATCCTGTTGGCCGGCGTCACCCCGAAACATTTAATAAACAAGAATTAAGAATTCTCTGGGGGCAGCGGGCAGGGCCGAGGCCACGGGCTCATCAGAAAGACGCCTTTTATTTTATTTTTGTTTCCTCTGCTTACAGTCACCCCGTTCGGGAAACTGGTTAAACATTTACCTCACTACAGACCTGCCTGATGACCTCCGACATCACCCTTCCGCCCGCTGCCCAGACGCACAAGCTTGTCATGGTAAAGAAATTACAAATGTTTTAAATGCAATTTGCAAACTGATCCTAGACATGAGTTATCAAACAACTATGATTTGTTGGTCTGATAAACTTTTTGAAGTAAATATTGAAAATAATAACATAAAAACACATGTGAAATTTTACCCTAAAATATATATATATCCTATATAATAAAGAGGTAATATGCAAATTAACCCTCACACCCTCACAAGATGACTGCCTAAGACCAGGCTGGCAGGGGGGTTAGTGAGGGACAACCAAACAACTGAACTAGGGGGCTGGTGGCGTGACTGGGCCGGCAGGGGAGGCAATTGGGGGAGACCAGGCCAGCGGGGGGGCAGTAAGAGGCAACCAGGCCAGCAGGGGGTGCAGTTGGGGGCGATTAGGCTGGTAGGAGGGGCCATGAGGGGCAACTAGGCCAGTGGGGGGGAGGGCAGTTGAGGGCAACCAGGCTGGCAAGGGGGCAGTGAGGGGCCATCAGGCTGCTGGGGGGGGCAGTGAGGGGTGACCAGGCAGGTAGGCAAGTGAACGATTAGGAGCCAGGGGTCCAGGATTGTGAGAGGGATGTCTGACTGCCGGTTTAGGCCCCATCCCTGGGATCGCCAGTTGGACATCCCCCAAGGGGTCCCGGATTGGAGAGGGTGCAGGCTGGGCTGAGGGCCCCACGCCCCCCCACACACAAATTTCATACACTGGGCCTCTAGTATATATATATATATTAGGCTAATAAAAACAGATGGCCTGTCAATCTGAGGGTCCTGTGAAGTAATTATTTACTCTCCAAATGACCACACACCCAGGGAACAGAAGTCCTTCCTCTCTAAACAGACATTTAGTCTCAAATGTGAAGTCACGGAGCGACACGACCCATGAATGCTAATTGGGGTCAGGCGAGCCCTGGTCATTATTCCCGGGACCCGCGGCCAGCACCTTACAGAAGGGACGCGCGTGGAAACGCAAGGCAGAGTCTGAGGAACCCCGCCCAGAAGGCACGGGGCGGCTGTGTGAGCCACTAACCCCCAAACCTGCCTCAGGTCTCGGGGGTCACTTTCCTCCAGCTACAGCGGCCGAGACGTAAATTTCGGGGAGCACCTGGCGACCTCGGGGTGAGCCCAAGGTCATGGGGAGACGCTTGGAACAACGCAAAGCTGCGCGGCGTCCTCACCGCTAATGGGCCGGTGGCAGCAGAGGTGTGTCTGCACACGGCGGGCGGCCCCCTCCTCCCCCACAGCTGAGGGCACAGGTGACTCAGCACCTAGGATCCCAGCACTCCTGTGGCCACAGCTCAGCCACGCCAGGGAACCCCAGTCCGCGTCACCCCTAAACTGCAACAAACCCGCAGCAGGCCCTGCCCTGGAAGGCACGGGGAGCGACATTGCATTCCTACGTCTTCGAGCTGCTCGGCCTGGTCAGGAGGGGCGGGTAGGCTGGGGGAGAGAGCAGCTGAGTGGAAGGCAGCGTTCACCAGGCAACGGCGAGAAGGTTTGGACAGATGCCAGCGTTCGTTTACGAGGCTCGGTTTAAACACGTTTCCCAATCTAAGATGCTGGCTTTGCCCCCAGGCAAAACACCAGCTCGGCGTCTGAGCAGCAACGGTGAATAAAAATTAAAATATGCTGTCTTCTCCTGGCCGGCGTGGCTCAGTGGTTAGCATCGACCTCTGAACCAGGAGTTCATGGTTTGATTCCTGGTCAGGGCACAGGCCCGAGTTGCAGGCTCGATCCCCAGTGGGGGGCGTGCAGGAGGCAGCCCATCCACGATTCCCTCTCATCATCGATGTTTCTCTTTTTCTCTCCCTCTCCCTTCCTCTCTGACATGAATAAAAATGCTGATCTAAAGCCAAGATGACCTGCCGCCAACGGTGATTGCCAGGCCTCGCCCCAGGCGTGTTGCAGGCCAGACCCTTGGACCCGTCTGGGGCTCCTTGAGACGCAGTTCCAATCGCTCGCCTTCTCGGCGCTTTGGGGGCTCAGCCACGTTGGGGAGGCTTCTTGGGTGACGACCAGAGCAAGCCCCTAACTACTGACGTTGGCGCTTCGATGCAGACCCCCGTGGTTTCCTGAAGGGATAACAGGATGCCACAGCTACCCTGTGCGCACCTCGGGCTCGCGGCCTCCCGTCGGGGGGCCTCCCGCGTGTTTCACGAGCAACATGGAAAGCACGTCCGGGCAGCACGTTCCCGCTGCAGCTCTGAGCCCCGGTGGAGGGGGAGGCGACTGTACGTGTCGCCTCTGTTCTTGGCGATGGCGATGGGGGAGCTCATGGCAGCAGGTCTGCCGTGAGTGACAGGGGAGAGCCACACGCTGAGCATGTGTGTGAATTAAAGCCCAGCACCGCCTGCCCGCGCTCTGGGAGGAGGGAGAACGAGAAGGGCCGGCCTCGGCTTCCTCCGTGCGGGACAGACGCAGCCCCGAGTCTCCCTCGCCCTGTGGTTGCCCTTTGGAAGGCCTGGGGGCGTGTCCTTCTGATGACCTTGAAAGTGATGTCTCCTATTGCTGCCAAATGAGACACGATGGCACGCTCAGCCCACGGGAAGCGTCGTGTCATCAAAGTCCTTGCTGACCATAAACTCCACATAAAAGTAATTGGGTTTAAACATTAGGACCTGTGTCGCCGAGGTTTTTTTTAATTGATGTCAGAGAGGAAGGGAGAGGGAGAGAGATAGAAACATCAATGATGAGAGAGAACCATAGACCAGCTGCCTCCTGCACGCCCCCCACTGGGCATTGAGCCCCCAACCCGGGCCTGTGTCCTGACCGGGAATCGAACCCTGACCTCCTGGTTCAGAGGTTGACGCTCAGCCACTGAGCCACGCCGGCCGGGCAACTTTGAGGGAAGGACTATTTCTCTCTCTGTCCCCAAACCTGAGGACAGTGCTGAGCGCTGTGCTGTGGGCGTGTCTGGGGAGGGAGCCCCTCGGGCAGCAGCCAGCTCCTCCGCGGAGTCTCCATCCAGGTGTTCATAGGCCTCACGGCGTGACCTGGCGGCCAGAGCCCAGACAACCCCACACACAGGTACATGGGCTCCCTGGGCCAGTGGTCGGCAAACCGCGGCTCTCGAGCCACATGCGGCTCTTTGGCCCCTTGAGTGTGGCTCTTCCACAAAATACCACGTGCGGGGCGCGCACGTACGATGCGAAGTTGACTTAAAACTTTAAGTAAAGTTTATTAAGTTAATTTTAGGGAACGCTGTGGAGTGAAAGAAGATGTAGTGTCGAGGATTGAGAAAGGTATGCTGAGATGGTTTGGACATAGAGAGAGGATGAACGAAAGGAGACGGATGAAACAAGTATACAAGACACGTGTGGATGGGAGAGTTGGAAGGGGTCGACCTCAG